AGGAGTCATCTACCTTGATTTCTAGTGACATTAATCGTGGTGGTCGTAGAGGTAGTCGTTATGGTGATCGTGGTTATGGATGTTGTCCAAACCAAAGGTGGTAATCATGGTGGTAGAGGTCTTGGTCGTGCGGGACATAATGGTTGTACTGGTTGTTCTGAGTGGAAATGTTCTTATTATGGGGCCGCTAGGCATAGTGAGGATTATTGTTAGGATAAGTATCGAAAACCCGTCTATGCTAAGCAAGCCTCTGATGATTCTGCTCCACTTGTGCTGGAACCTTCTACATCTACGTTTGGTTGTTATGATGGCCTTACCTCATAGCTCTATCAGCTCATCCAACAAATATCCCCTCTCTCCTTAGTTGTCTATTGCTACTGCGAGTTTGGCTAATGCAAGTAATTCGACGGATGTGGACTCCAAATTAGCTTCAACATCTGGGATTATTGATTCAAAGCTAGTGCACACATATTTGGTATTCTCCGATATTTTCTAATATTCATTCTTCTAAATCACGTATCATGTTAGGTGATAGTTCTTTTCGACTGGAATGTGGGACTGGTGATCTCCACCTTAACCCGCCCATGCCCCTTTCATCTAGCTTATTTGTTCCACACTTTCCTTTTAATTTGTAAACGTGAGTTAGTTAACTAAGTCTTTAGTGTTCTGTGACATTTTCTCCGTCTTCTTGTATGTTTTAGGACATCCGGACAAAGAAGGTGATTGGTTTGGGGCATTAGTAGAATAATCTTTATTAGTTGAATTCTCCAAATATGGTCCGCGCATTGAGTGCTACCATGTCTCCTATTTAGTGACATTTTTGATGGAGTCACCCTTCGCTACAAAAGCTTCGTCAAATTATTCCTAGTTTGAGACATTTTGTGTTAGAATGTGAGGTTTGTTAATTAGGCAAGGATCAACGTAGTTCATTTCCTAGTAGCTCTCACAGGCGTCAGTCAAGTTGTTTTATATTGTTCACTCAAACATTTGAGGTATTACAAGAATAAAAATTGTTTCTGGTTCTTAGTACTTTATAATATTTGTTGGTGATTTCTCTCGTACGACTTTATTGTTCCTTATGAAAGATCATTCTGAGTTGCCTAAGGTTTTTGTCACTTTTTGTAATGAAATTTTGGTTCAACATGATAAACATATTGAACGGTTTTGTTCTGACAATGCTATGGAATACATTCAATCATTTATGCATACCTTTTGTGCCGACCATGATATTATCCATCAAACTACTTGTCCACACACATTCTACCAAAATGGTATTGTAGAACGAATACATCGTCATTTATTGGATGTTGCCAGTACTTGATATTTAATATGCATGTGTGAAAACCTTATTGGGTTGATGTTCTTCTTACTTCTGTCTATCTTATTAATCGGATGCCTTCTTCCATCTTAGAAGCAAATCTCCATTTTCATTGTTTTATCCCCGTACACCATATGGTTTAACTCCTTGTTTCTTGGGTTGTGTTGTATTTGTCCATCTACTAGGTCTTGGTCGTGATAAACTCTCATCTTGCTCAACCAAGTGATATTTTGGGATATTCTTGTACTCAGAAAAATTACTGCTTGCTCGATGATATTATGTCATTGTCGATGTTACCTTCTTCAAGTCTTTTTTTTTTTTTTCCTTATTGTGTTTGGCGACATTTATTCTCCAAATTTAGTCTTAGTTGGGGGAACTTTTGTTGCCAATTGTAGTAGACTTGGAGTAACCCATACCTGAAGGCACGATGAAAATTTAATAGGGATGTTGGTGGCCGTTGGATAAGTCTATTTGAGACCATCAGATAGACTTGTTGAAGCCTGTCCAATTTTATATAATAGATTATGTCTTTTATTTCTTCGTCTACAATTTGTGCACCTCCACTATTGGTTTACCATTGTTCCAAAGATAGACAAATTGTTCCCTAAGCTCTAGCTTCATAACTAACACTTGAGTCTTCTGAGGTTCTACTTCTTGAGCCACCATTTGATCTTTCTAATTTACCTATTGCATTAAGGAAAGGTACTCGTACATGTATCCAACATCCCATTTTTATTTTTATCTCTTGTCATCGGTTTTCCACATCTTTTTGTTGTTTTGCATCCTCATTGTCATCTGTATTTGTTCCTAGACACATGCACTAGCTTCTCCTAGATGGAACTGGCTATGGATGAGGAAATGAAAGCCGTTCATAATAGGGGTGCAACACAGGCGGGTTGGACGGGTTAGACAGTCAACTCTAGGTATATAATCTTTAACCCTAATCCTAACTCTAACCAACCTTGGATTGAGGAACTCAACCCGAGCACTGCCCGAGTTTAATTCAGGCGGGCTCGGGTTGAATTCGGGTTCACTACAAGAGAGACAGAGAGGGGGGAATAATTACAAATTCATAAAACAATCCATATATTTCATTCATAACAGTGCACAATTATTGATCATCTGCTTTCACACTAAAAGTTAGCGATCTCAAAGCACAATCCCAGAAAACATAGAAATTAGACCCATAAAAACATTAAACTTAAAACATCACACTATCACCACTAATCACGCATAATAGCGTAGCAAGCAACAAGAAACAAAGGACGATGGAGTAAAAATGAAAAAAAGTGCTAATGCTATATATATAATTTTTTTTAATTTGTCGGGTTCGGTTTGGGCTCAGGTTCGGGATGCCTCAACCCGAGCCCGGCCCAAATTGAATTCGGGTTGGGGTTTTTTGACCCAATCCCAACCCAAGTATTAAAAATCCTAGCCCAAGTCCTAATTTTTTAGGGTTGGGCTCGGGTTGAAATCGGGTTGCCCAACCCAAGTTGCACCCCTAGTTCATAAGAATCGAGTTTATGATCTCCGTTCTTTTCCTCTTGGTAAGCAGCCAGTCAGCTGTCGCTAGGCGACACTGTGAAATATCATCCTACGTTTGAAGGCACCATTGGTTGCCAAAGACTACACGTAAATATATAGTGTGGATTACTATGAGACCTTTTTCCCAATTGTTCGTCTTAAATCTGTTAGAGTTCTTCTTTCTATTGCTGACTGACTTTTGTATTACCTGCACATAAAAAATGTCTTTCGTATTGTGTATACTAATGATGTTATTTTATTAGTGGTGACAATTCTGATGGTATTGCTTACTTCAAACACCATTTGGGAAAGTAGTTCCACACCAAAAACTTACGTCTTCTTCAATACTTTCTTGGGATTGAAGTTGCTCGATCTAAGAAATGTATTAGTTTGTGCCAAAGGAAGTATGTGTTGGATTTACTATCTGAAATTGGTACTCTTAGTGCATGTCCTGTTGATACTCTCATAGATTCTATAAAGTGTGGAGAAGTGTTTAGTGATACTGGTTGTTATCGGAGGTTAGTTGGTAAGTTGATTTATCTCACGGTTACATGTCCTGATATCACTTATGCTCTCGATATGGTTATTTAGTTCATGCATGCTCCTTGGAAGTCCCATTGGGAGTCTTCCTGTTGTATTCTTTGATATTTGAAAAGAGTACTAGGAAAAAAATTATTACATGGTTCGTACCCATCAATTACAGGTGCTAGGTTTTTTAATGCTAATTGGGCAAGTAGCTGGATTAACAAACGATCTACTTCTGGTTATGGTACGTTTGTTGGTGACAATTTTGTTACTTGGCGTAGTAAGAAACATAATGTAGTTGCATGGTTTAGTGTGGAAGCTAAGTATCGTGATATGGCTCACACTACAAGTGAGTTGTGGGTTCACTCTTTGTTTCGTGAGATGAGTATTAATGTGTCTTTTCCAGTAAAGATGCACTTTGATAATGACAATACAACTACTATTTTTTTTGTCAGTATTCCAATATTTTATGAGCATACTAAGTATATTGAGGTGGATTGTCACTTTATTTAAGATTTTTTGTTGTGAAATGAGATTGTGACTCCATTTATCAAATCTGGTGATTAGTTGGTGACTTCCTTCCCAAACCATTGACTCAGTTTTTCCTTCAATGACTTTTTTTCCAAACTGAGCATTTTGGTCTTTATTTTCTAGTTTGAGGAGAGTGTTAGAGCTCTTTTTTTATGTTATATTAGTTATAATGGTTTAGTATAACAGTAATATTGTAATTATCCTGAATCATTGTCTAATATAAATGACAGTGCAGGGCGACATTGTAATTTCTTTCTCTTCTCTCTTCTTCCATTTTTTCCTTCTTTCTCAAACATGGTTCAAGGTCGCGGTATCGGTCCTTGACTCAGGGACCACTGAGACACATCGGTCGCGGCGCTGTATCGGTCGATACGCTCAAAACGCTATATAGAAGGCTCAAAAAATTTAGTAAAAATTAGAAAAAATTGTAATAAATGTAAATATCATCATGCATGCATCATATCCCCAAAAGGCATTATTTAACATATTAATCATTAAAAAAAAGAATAATAAGGGTGCTACCGGAAAATATTTGTCATCATCTATGTTCAATATTAATATAATTTAACTTATAATTTTTAAAAATTATAAAAATATATAAGTGTATATATATGGTTAACTTAATAGCTTTAAAAATGAAAATCTACTTATAAATAAATTCTTCATTTAATTAGTTAATGTATATCTAACTAGAAATTATATATATTTTTTTCATTATGTATATTTAATTATTAAATCTTCCATTACATATACAAAAGCAAACTTAATAAGTTAAGTTCTAATTATATTATATGGTAAATACTAAAAATTAGACCAAAATGGTTTGAATTGTGGGACTATTGGGAACCAAAAGAGAAAAGAAAAAAAAGGGGGAGGCAACTATATTTTTGGGTCTCATTCCTTATAAGGCCAAATCCTCACATATTCTGAGCAAAGACGAATCGAGAACATACGCGAGGGAGAGACTTAGACTCATTGACGAACCGAGAACATACGAGAGAGAGAGAGAGACGATTGGGGTCTGGGAGTCGATGCTGGTCGCTGAAGGCTTGCTAGGAGGGATCTGAGTCTCTGACTCATATGTGATGTTAGGGATTCTGCGATGATGAAGAAGAATAAAGAGGGGGTTTTTGCGATGATGCTAGGGTTTTTTGTGTCTTCGATTTTAATAGGTATGCCTTGCAATTATTTCAATTTTTCTTTTAACTTGTTATGATTTAGGATTCAAAACAATTTGGGTAAAATTATGCTACTTCTTCCCTTTTGCCTTTATTTTTGGCACACTGGTTTTTTGGTGTGATCGAACGATTTACATCCAAATCGGTATGATTCGGATGAAAATCGGCCGAATCAATCGATGTGTGACCAAGTCCTTTGATTTCGGCCGAGACGCACGAGATATCGCCGATGTTTATTCATTTTGAGATTTCTTTGACTCGCGTACCGTTATCGTATCGGCAGTGGCCGAGGCGGATACGACTCGGCCGATACCTAGAACCATGTTCTTAAACCCTAATACCTATTTTATAGATTCAACTAAAGATTTTTTTGAAACCTTTCTCCATATATAATTGGTAATGTTTTTAGATTGGAGATAATTAGTCTATTAGATTGGATATGTTGACTTCATCTATGTTTCTTGGTAATTTTTTTTTTTTTTGTCTGTTTCTTTTTTTTATTTGTTATCAAGTTCATCAAGAGGTTTAATGCATACCATCTTTTGTTCTTAAATTTCTAATTATCTTGCACATTGTTTGATTGTGTATTTTCTTTTTGTTTTTGCACTTTCTTAACCATTTTCCTGCTTATGATATTGGTGCATATCCTTGTAGTGGATGGAGAACTTTACATGTGGGGCAAGAATTCAAATGGACAGCTTGGCCTCGGAAAAAGTACGCTTAAGCGGTTAAACCTGTTGCTCGTTTTAACTTTGTTACAAGTAGATATGTTGTTTAATAAGTACACCCTCTTGCTGCTGAACTTTGGGCTTGTCTCTATGGCTGCAAATTTTTGCTACTGTGACATCGTGGATTGTTGGTTTGTCTTGTTAATGAAGCACGCATTATATTCCCATAGGAGGATGCTATTTTATACTCACGTTGTCCCATATTTATAGTCCCAATTACGAGTTTTAACCTTTTGAGGAGACGTGCATTAGAAGCATTTACACTTGGTGAGAAACCTTTCACCTTAAAATTATTCTGTTAGATTTTTTTAAACCTGTCAAAATTGAGAAAAATTTAATTAACAGAAGTTATAAAATGTTGTGATTTGACTATTCCAAAGGGACAACATTTTGGACATACAAAAGAATGGAAAGAGGGAGAGATTGAACTTGTAACAGGATTGTTGGCTAATCTATTCCCAGTTACTCATCTATATTATGCAACTTCCGATGCAGAGGATTTTTTTTGGAGCCTTGTCTATTTCTCTTGATAGGGTAGTGTTGTTCACGTGACTATCTAGACATGGAAGTAAGGATGACTTCAAATGCTGTAACTGTTTTCACTGAATACACGTTGAACTGATCTCTTACAAGCAAGTGGAGATTACCTTCTTTTCGTTTTGTGCATCAAATTTTGAGATGGATAGGCTCTCTAAATATTTTGATGTGAGATCATCTATATGGTTGGAGATGTAAGCGTCTCAACTGTCTGTTCTGCCCTATACACTGTATAAAACACATTGTAGTTTTCTGTGGGTGTTTTCGATCATTCTTTTCTAGTCCTCATATTTCCGTTGCTGACATTATATACTCATATACTCTTTTCCTAATATACACCACTTACAGTTTCTTTGTATCAGATTCTATTATACAAGGGGCTAAAATGATAAGGTAGGACTTGTTTCAAATGATTGCTATTTCCATGTTTTGTATTGACTATTGACAGGGGCAGCAAAACTAGTTCCTACACCGAGTAAAATTGAATGCCTGAACGGTGTCAACATCAAGATGACGGCTTTGGGTTGTGACCACTCAATTGCTGTTACAGGTTTGAGAATTAAACTCTTTTTTCCTCATGATATGTATATCTTGATGTTTTAGATATGGATTCATAGTTTCTCGGCATTTCTTGTACTTAGGACTTAGGAATTGAATGGCCTTAATTCCTCTATCATTTTTTTGGGTTTCATTCCTCTATCATTTTTGTGGGTATCTTTCTAGCAGATAAAGGTGAGGCCTTAAGTTGGGGTGGAGGAGGATCTGGAAGACTTGGTCATGGACAAGAATTGGGCATTCTGGGGTTTCTAAGAAGTTCCAGGTTGCTGTCACTCATTTCCGGATTTTAGGCAAACAGGAACTAGTGCTATACGCATAGCTCATGTCAGGCACATAAGTACTCTTCTATAGGGGACGAGGTGTTTAAAAAATCCTTTATATAACTGGTGAATGTCAGATAGAAACTTGTGAAAGTGTGATGTACTAAGATAGAAACTTGCATTACCAAAATAAGTTTTGTGTGATTACTACTGTTGGTCCTTGATTGGCTGTTGTTATCATGGTTTAATCATGAGGAATATGCAACCTTCCTGATCAGCATTGCTGACCTTTTGTACATTGCTTTAAACCTAGGAGCAGATCTTATCTGAGGTGAAAGTCTGAGTTTCTTCCTTATATGTCCTTTTTGATGCCATATTTATTAGTGAATAGTAAATGAAGAATCTACTGATTTGCACTGTAAGAGGAGTGGCAAGAATTTTATCGTGCTGAAAGTTCAGCCCAAGTGAAAATGATTATTGTTTTATTTTTTTACATAATTCACTAAAAAAATGCAGGCCACTGAATGTGAATATAGAAACCTTTGTAGCTATTATTTACTGTTTCGTTGATTATTTTCCATATGATGAGGTAAATAACCTAATAAGAGAACTCCATGGGATCTGGATTTTCTGATGCACAAACACTGCTGTCTTTTGAACCTCATTTGCAGTTAAATCTATGAGACTGTCTTCTATGATGCATCTCTTAAGATTAATGATACCTTAGTTTAGTTTGATAAATTGGTATTTCCCTTTATTTCAAGAAACATGCCAGGTAAACTGTCTGCGATTCTGTTGATAAAATGACGAAGTAAATGGTATATGTCGTTGTGCTGGTTATGTGTTCTTTTGGGATCCAATTAGTTTTTTGGAGCTTTGCTCAATTTATTTTGAGCTTATAGATTTGACATGCATTTTTCAATAACTTTGATATCATACTCTTGACACATTATTTCATGATGCAGTGAATATACCCCAAGGCTTATTAAGAATCTCGAGGGAGTTAAGGTATTAATATAGGCATCATGTCCCAAAGAATCAATTCCATTATCTGTTTGGAAACTAGCAAATTAGTTTTAGTTCTTCTTTGACACCTACTTTTATTTAACCATAGGTCAAAAGTGTTGCTGCAGGGATGCTACATTCGGCATGCATGGATGGTATTCATTGTCTTTTATTATACTTGTTCTTCCTGGAAAATGATCTTGAAGTCTATATTTAAAATTTGACTTTACTGATTTAACTTTGTCTGAATTTTGCAGAAAATGGCTCTCTGTTTATTTTTGGTGAAAGAATTGTGGAGAAACTGGTGATTACCAGAAACTGATGTCTTCAATTGAAGAAATTTTAACAATCATATGTTAGATTTTTGACATTCTTTGTTTCAGTCTTATCTGATCAGTCCATCTAATTAGGGCTTTGGGGATGCAAACAATGCTACATTGCCATCTATGATCAGCCAACTTCCGTGTTCTGAAGAAGTTGCATGTGGTGGTTATCACACTTGTGTCATTACTCGTAATGCTTCATCTCCGTAATGCTCGAGCTCTTGTTTTGTCTTTGTTCATGGTTTTTGTTTTTTTGAAATTGTGGCACATTGTAGATGGCACGAGTTATTTGAGAAAGTTAGAAAAACGAGAACTTTTCTCTTCAATCTCCCAATTATTTGTTTGGAAGCACTATAATTCCAATATTTGGGTGAAAGGAATTCTTAAGGTAGGTGAAGGTGTACTTGATGCAGCCTGTAAGAAGCTCAAGGAAATACTTTTGATTAAAAAGAAAGAAAGAAAAAATTTCGTCAAAAATCAAACTTGGGATGAAATTTGATCAGGTTTTTGAAGGAATTCTGTTTTCCTTAAGTTAATAAACCTACAGCTTTTTTATATATTTTGTTAGACTTTTTGTAGGAAGGTACTTTAGTATGTATGATTTAGGTAACAATCAGCTGCCTTGATGGGATTTTGTTTTGTGGGCATATTTGCTTTATGGACCATATTTAGGGTGGGGCAGTGTAGGTGTTTTTCCAAATCTAAGTAAGCCTTGGCCATGAAATATTACTTACCAGGGCCGGACCTAGGCATAGGCCACTAAGGTGGCTGCCTAGGGCCTCAGTTTTAAAGGGCCCCAAAAATTGTAACCACTAGTATTTTAGGCCCAAATTTTATGTCTTAGTTTTAGGTAGACCTTGAATTTTTAGGCCCTCATTTTTAGAACCCAAATCAATTTCTAATTTTGTTAGGCCCAAAGGTTCTCTTCATTTAGTTAAGCCCAATAAAGCCCTAGTAGTTTTATATTTTATTTCATGATTGCTTATATTTTTCTGCCTCGAAAAAAGTTAGCCTCTTGAGTGTCTCGCTCTCTTGTGGATGTTTCTCTCTCTCTCTCTCTCCTTTGTGCTACTAGCTCACTCCTAAAACCTTATACAGATAATCTTTAGCACCTGCATAGCAAAATATGTAAATTTATCCTTATTCTTTCTTATATAATTTTTTATCTTTGAGAGAATATAATTTTTAAGTGCATATATTTTTGGTCCATTGTATTTAATAAATTTTTATTATTAAACACTTCATTTATGATGTATGTATTGATATTGATGGCTTAATTTTATTTTTAGAATCGAAATTTTAAAAATTAAAACTAACACTCCAATTGAAATACTAAACTAAATAAAAAGACTAATTTTTTTTCTTTTTGAATTCATACATTGCTTATAAAATTTTGTTAACAATAGTCGCTTCAACAAAAAGGAGTTTTTCAAAACTTAAATTGATAAAATCTTATTTACAACCAACTATGTCAAAAGAAAAATTGAATGAATTAATTATAATCTGTCGAGAACTTTTTTTTTATCAATATTTTTGTATTTCAAAAAACAAGAAAAATAATTTTTAATTAAATTATGATAATTAAAAAATATTCAATATATTAATATTAATAGGGCCTTGTATAAAATTTTTGCTTAGGGCCCCCTTTACGTTGGGCCGCTCCTGTTACTTACCAAGTTTACTTGACCACCAAGTTCTCATGATCTTTATGTCATGGATTCTATTTATGTTTTTATCATAACTCAAAGTGAGCATAGTAGAATAATGATCTTTGCATGTGATGTTTGGTTGGCATTTCTCTTTGAAGTTTGATCAGTGTGTTAATTGTCATTTATTGTGTAGGTGGTGGTGAACTTTTCACCTGGGGCTCGAATGAGAATGGTTGTCTTGGTATTGGGTATCTTCCTTATAAGTGCTTCGTCTGAAAACGCATACCTTAATTGTCACCTCTTAATTATACAACATTTACATTCGTTGCATTTTCTTATTTCAGCTGTACAGATGTTGCTCATAAACCTGAAAGAGTCAAAGGTCCATTCTTGAAACATCCTGTTTGCAAGGTTTGTTAACTCTTCATCAACAATTATATTGTGATAACTATTCTGTATGTCAAGTCCCTAATTATTCATTGTATTGTATTTTCTTACACGAAGTTTTGTTGATAGGTATCTTGTGGTTGGAAACATACGGCAGCAATTTCGGGTAATGATGTTTCGAAATTAAAAAGTCTAACTAGAAGTTCTAATTTTGTAGTTAGCATTTGATCAGTTTCTTTATGTACTGTATTGATATTTAGGCCTTTGCTTTGTGATTGCAAATAATCTCCCGTTCACTATGGTCTTCTTGGGATATACTATATGTGAGGGTCCTGGAGTGCATCTCTCTCTCTCTCTCTCTCTCTCTCTCTCTCACACACTTACACACAGGCTCTCTCTCAGCCACAGAGGAACAGACACGCACAGTCTATCTCTCTCTCTCACAGACACACACTAGCAAAACCAAAAAATCAATTTGGCCATGCTGATGGCGAGAATCTTCTTCTTCTTAGTTCCCTTTCTCTATGCCTTCATCTCTGGCATTCTAACTGGGTTCCCTGATCATTTTCTTCTTGCTGCTTCTTCTTTCCATTTTTGTTTGTCTTCTTCTTTGCTTCCCTCTCTTTATTTCTTTCTACAGTTTTCTCAGAATTCTCCATCTGCTATTAAACTTCTGGACAACGATTTATCTTGAGTTTCAAAGGATTGTCTGGTGATTTGATTTGTATAACTGAATGGAACTAATTTGGTTCATTGTTTTTTTTGTTGAATCAAGGCTGTGTGATGTGCTTAAAGGAATCGCTAGTCTATGCACTGAGTTGTATAGTGGGTTTGCTGTATTTGTCAGAAAATATAGGGACTATGGATTCTGTGTGTGTATTGAAATGGAGACCATCAAGTTTGGAGAATTTGTTAATAGTTAGTAAGCTGTTGAATAATGGACGGATGATGGGTCTGATTATTCCTGAAGGCAGTCTAAAGGACGGGGATGGAGAGCATTTGGAAGTCTACTAGAGGATGCTGCTATTCAGGGTGGCAGACATACTGTTCAGAAAAAATGAAAACAGGTGATGGGTAGATGTGGTTGGAAGAAATGGAAAGAGCAGCCATGCGAATACAATGCATGAGGTTTCTAAGAATACCAAAGCACCCCTCAATAAGTTATTGGTTGGCTTTCATAGTAACAGAATCATGTAAGGTCAATGAGTTAGCGGGTCATTTTTCTATTTTTCAGTTGAATTTTCGGTCACTCTCTGGTAACTAAACAACTGGAGTGCACATATTACTAAGGTGGACCGAAGGGTTTTGCTCTTTCATTGTTTTGACTCTTTGGAGACTTGCATGCAAGACCCATTTCAGCTTTCATTGCATACCTGTTTATATTTTCAGGCAGACTCCACAGGGATTTCATTTTAAGTGGATATTATAAAAATCCACTTCGGTTGGTTTAACTTCTGAGTTCCGGCACATGTGATGCCATGTTGTTGGGTCTCTGAGAGAGAGAGAGAGAGAGAGAGAGAGAGACACAACATGCAGTCGCCAAGTTATTCTCTATGATTGTGTAGTTATCCTTTATGCATTCTCTTATTCGTCTTTATGTGTTGTCGACATCCTAAAAACATTTCTTACAAGTGAGGATATTTCTGTGCACTTGGGGCCTCTGTAGAGGCTTCATTATGATTTTTCTGGAAGTTTGGCACCAACCTTTTTATTTTTGTAGCTGATGAAAGCTATTGTATGTTGACGTTGACTTGTCCATTTGCTGAAATGAAGTAGTTATGAGGCATAAACAAAAGTTGTGCTACTATTCAGTGAATTGACACGCAATAATTATTGGTGACAATCAGACGGTAACGTTTATACATGGGGCTGGGGAGGTTCACATGGAACATTTTCTGAAGACGGACATTCTTCTGGTGGACAATTGGTTTGTTTCCACCTCTCTGATTCTGTTTATTTTTCTGCCTCCCTTGATCAGTTTATTTTTCTTTCCTGTGAAACTCATGTAGAACTTTTAAGTTTGATGAGTTACCCTTCCACAACTCTTGGGAATCACACACCTTTAAACCAATGCCCTATTTATTTGTGGTGTAATATACTTGTGGATTTTTTGTCATCCTGAAAAAGTTTACCTAGACAAGAAAATAGTTGATCATTTACCTTTTGCACCTGTGGCCCTAAATTTCAGTACTGATTTTCATTTTCTGAAGTTGAATTCCATGTATTAGTCCCATCTTTTCTGTGATTCTACTAAATGAAAGGTCTACTCTTGCCTTTCCCCTTATCTTCGCCTTCATTAATCAAAACATAGATGCATTCAGAAATAAGGTGAGAGAGTTAAGATCTTAGTGTTAATCCTATCCTACAAGATTTTAGTGCCATTTTAAATGTGCCTCTTCTGGCTATTCAACTTAGGTCAATGATGCACATTTTTTATTGCAATGTTTTGTCTATTGGAAACTCAATTCTTTTCATGGAATTTTGCATATTACATCTGTACTTGCACAGAAGTTATATGGATTTATGTAAATTCTAACCATATTAATGACTTGTATGACTCGGTATCAAACCAAATGGTGCAGCTGTTGGACCTATGGATAGGAATTTGAATTCGTAAATAGTCAAACCCAGAGGACTCCTGAAGGGTGGAGGAAAGATGTAGCTACGGTTTTATTTAAACCAAGTTGGGAAATTATGTACCCAATAAATGTTAATTAATGATTTTGTACCTATCATTTCTGGCTCAAACCTCTTGTTTGGTTATACTTTATAATTGAGTAAAGGCAGTATCACTTCAAATGTTGTTTGAAAAGCACATTAAAAAAATTGCACATTAAGTTCTTAACAATTGAGCTGGTGATTATCATTTACTTACTTTTAGGAAAGCAGAAGATTTTCCTCAAATATTCTCGTGACAATCTTGCAGCAAGTAACATACACTGGACAGTATTAGGATTTGGCAGTAATAAATCTTGGATAGAGAATTATTATGGCCATTGAGATGTGGCCTTAGGTATTCCTAGGATTTAGCGATATAGATCCAAATGAACCAGATACTGGAACTGAAAAAATTCTACATTCCTATTGCTTCTGTCACTTAACTATACCCAAATTTGTTCAGGAGAAAAGTCTGAACCTACTGCAGTTTCTGCTCTCATTCTTTGGTATTTGGCATCGAAAGATTAGAGGATCGTTGTACTCTGATTTGTTATGCATTGTTTATTTTGGGTAAATTGTTTACCAAAGCAACATGGAGGCCATTTGAGCTTGACATTTGAGAATTAACATGGCAATCCCTGAATTTTGCATGGTATAGTGAAGACTTGACATAGTCAAATATAAGTTTCAAATCCAAGTGTCCCTGTTTTTTTTTTTTTTTTTTTTTTTTCCATTTTTTTCAGTTTTTATTCTGAAGACATGGCACAATCCCTGTTTTTTTTTCAAATAAAGGTAAAATGACATTGCACTAATAATTTAAAAACCAGTAAGAGGTGTCTCTTTCAATTGGCTGGTGTTGTGTCTATGTTATTTTGCCATATATTGATGTGACATATCCACTTTCTCCCTCATGTTTATGTTACATATGCATCTGTTTAGAATGTAGTATTTGCATATTCAGCATGGTGCAGTAGTGACTATGTGATTTTGTAGTGCTGAAGCAGCCATTTCTCCTATTGTTTCATTTGTCTTCAGCCTAAAGCCCGAAATTCTCTAAAATTTTCTTTTAAAAGGTATTGTGTTACAATCTGTCTAGCATTTGAACTAAACAATTGCTTTTCTTTACAGGGCCTAGGTAATGATGTCGATTACATTGAACCTGCAATTGTTAGTTTTGGCAAGAATGTGAAAGCATTGGAAGTATCATGTGGATTCAATCATACAGGTGCCATACTTGAATACAGTTGAACCATATAGCAAGAAGCACTGTTTTTTCCCCACTTTGGACAACAGAAGCAGTTTGAGAATTTGTTCATAAACGACATACCTCATCCATTCATTTATAGTGTCACAAAATGTGAGTTAATGCATGCTATACTTGTCTATAGAATTTTAGGTTGGAGCAAGAATACTAAGTGAGGCCTACAATGCCATAAATATAATTTGCTTGTCCACCATACTCCCAATAAAATGGTGCACATATATGTATGTACTAAAAAATCAACAAAGTGAACAAGTCTCTTCTGCAGCACCAGAAAGTACATTTATAAATTTTATAGATGATGGACGGATTGTGTGCTTTAGGAGATCTGTTTATGGCACAAAAGTACCAGGTTCCCAATGTTTATAGAATAAACCCCATGTAATACATAAAAATATGTATGATAATTTGATCTTTTAAGGGAATATAGTTGATTTGAGATTGGTTTTTCTTGAATGCTTGCTTGGTTACTCTCACATGTTGATTCCTTATTATATTGAGTATACTACATCACACTATGAGGCACCATTGAGTACTTCTGTTTAGACAAATGCAGTAGAAATATACTCTCTGTAGGGGACGTGTGTTGCAGAGAGATTCGACCGCTGGCCGGGTTTTTTTTTTTTGGGTTAGTTTTGAGTTTTAGTGTTTGGTTTGATAAAAAGTTGGTGGATGAAAAATAGTACAAAGGAACATGGGATGGAAACCAGAGGAAAATAGGAGGGAGAGGAAAATTGGAAGGAAAGTGTTTTCCTCCTGCCCACTGATTTTTTTTTTCTCCCAAAATTGGGAGGAGAATTGAAGTCCAACTACTTTTTGGATAAATTGATTTTCTTGCCCTTGAATATATTTATAAATATTATGCCACAATTTCAATTTTCAAATAAAAAAATCAATTTAAAACCTGCACATTTCTTAAGATATGCTTTTAAATATTGTCAAATACATTTTTTATATGTATATTTTTTGGATATTATTTTTGGTATACATTTATATTTAGTTATTTAGTTTTATAACTAATAAAAGCGACATTGAACATTTTTAAATCTCAAATTTTATTAATAATAAAAATTATGTATTATGATAAATTAAACATATGTATCTTTTCTTTTCTTTCACATTTTCCACCAATACAAAATAATAGAAATTTATTTTTTTCAAATTTTCATCTATAATAACAAACAAAAATAAGAAAAGGAAAGTCTATTGTTCATCTTTTTTTCATCATTTCAATTTTGTATACCTTATTAAAATAAATAAATAAATAATTAATTTTTTAATTGATAAGCCAAAATATAATATTTTTCCCATTATTAGAGAAAAGGAAAAAATAAATTTAAGTCAACACCTAAGTAGGAATCCTGTAGGAGTCGACTACGGTATTGAACAAAAAAAAATTGTATTGTATTGCCAAATTTTGCAAGTTTTGTGGGTTAAAAAACACGTTTTTTCTTTTACAGTTTCTGAGGTCATATTACAAATTTGTGGGTTATTTAGGATCGATCCTAAAATTAAGATCAATCACAACTAATCTCAAAAGATTTAAGTGATCTTCAAATGTTGTAGGGTGAGGTTATTATCACCTCACAAATGTTCATCCCAGCCCTATTTAACTTATTATTATCAAACTATTAAGTTCATCTTATATTATACATACCCTCTAATAAATAAACTCACCTTATATCTTTTCACTTCTAAGGTTTCTTTCAATATGTCATCTCATATGCAATTTACACAAAAGCTCTTTTGCAATATGAATTCTTTTAGTGAGATACAAATTAGTATTATTTATCGTTTTAATTTTATATCTGATTTCATGTGTCAACGTGTGAATTTCCATATTCATTATTGTGTTTTGATATTTTTGACAAGTTTAATAATTTTTTCTTTTAAATTTATATGTGTGGGTGTATATATATATATTTTCAAGTTCTATGATACAAAGGAGTAGATCAATTAATTAAAGAAAAAGGAATCTAAGAACCAAAAAGATGTTTGAGATAAAATGATGAGCATATAAATGTGTTTGTGGCCATGAGGTAATCGCCTATTTACATGTAGAAAATATAGAGGTGAAAATAATTTGTGATTATTTTGTTTAATTGGGTGATGGTTACAAACTCAATGATATATTAAAGCGTGTGTATAACATGTGCTGTGTTTTTTTATTTTTATTTTTTCTATAGAGTGTTTAGACTTATACCGACTACTCATTCGCGTTCAATGACGACTAACGTTGCTTGAGTTGAGTTAAAATATGTTTATGAGGAACAAGTGTAACTAGTCCATAGGAGTGTGGGAAGGAATTAAACATGGGACCTCTGAGTTCATAGGCAGAGGGAGGTAGGGGCCAGGGTGGGCATGTGCCCCCCTCAATTTTTTTATTTTTATTAGTTAGATATATGTATTATATATTTATAAATATATATTATGTGTGCTCCCCTCATTTATATTAGACTCATATTATTTACCCAAAATAATTAAACAATTAAATCCATTTAAAACAAAAAAAATTGAACTCACTATTATCTATCCAAACTTATTAAAAAATAAAATATTTGACTTATCACAATCCACCCAAACCTATTAAAAAAATAAAATTTTTAGCTCAACATTAAAAACAAAATTTTTGGCCCAACTTAAAAACAAAACTTTTGGCCCATTTGACTAAAACCTATCTTATCTTTTTTTTTTTCTCTCTATATCACTCACTCCCAGTTGCCCACTGCCCACTACCCAGCCACAAGAAAAAGAAGAAACAGAAAAAAGTTCAACACACGAGAAACTCAGTACTTTGAATTTTTTTGTCCTTCTTTTTACCAACCTATAAAATTATTTTATACATTATATTTACCCTCTAAATTTTTGAAAATTTTAATAATGTTTCTAGTCTTTTTTTTTTTTTAATAAATTAGTGGACCGCTAACCCTCTAAAATAAATGTGTTAGTTTTGGATTGAATCAATATTTTATTTGTATATTGACGAAAATACAATATTTTTCTTTATCTAATACAATGTTCGTTACTTTTTAAGAATAATTTTTAGTTTTTATTTACCATTTTTTTAGCAATAGTAATCTATAACTTAATAAAATAGGAAAATTAATTTATATTTAATTCAAATACAAAATTTTAGAGATTTTAAAAAAAATTATATTTTATTGAAATATATAATTTGGTTAAAATGTACTAAAAAAATTATTTTATGTCTTTTTGTTAAGATTTTGTTTCGGCTAAATAAAAATTGAATTCACTATTTCACAATAATTTATTGTTGATTCTTACTTTTTTTTTTTATTCTTGAACTAAATTTTTTTGTATTAATTTCGGCTTAATATTTTTTTATACCAGTTATATTTTGCCTCTACATAGATATTCTTGACTCTGCCCCAGACAATATACAATTTTTTTTTTGAAATTTTTTATATTAAATGGACGTCATATATCAAATATAATATAATAAATTTAAATATGTTACATAGTGTGATTGGTTAAAAAGAAAAAAATTAGAGTGCATAATTAAAGTGTCCACCCTGAACAAAAATTCTGACTTCGTCCTGGTCTGAGTTACCAAAGACTACCCTTAGGGTTAACATGTTATGTGCTTAATTAGTAATAGGGTGAGTATAGAAAGTATGAGTTTAATAGTTTGATAATAATAAATTAAATGGAATGAGAATAAATATTTATGGGATAAGAATAGATCTGCCCAGTATTGTAAATGATTATCAAAATTTATAAATAATATTCAAAAATTATAAAAAAAAATCACAAAATTTTTAATGACACCCTAGACTTCTATAGTGTAAGGACATAAAAATTAGGGAGAATTATATTCAAACTCCTTGAAGTTTGTTAATTAATCACTCAAATTTTTAATATTTAAAATATTACATACAGACCCCTTAAAATTTGTACGCGCATAACATTTGAAATAGAACATGTATTTTTGTTTTAAAATTTAAAATATTTAATATTTTATATTTGATTGAAATTTTTTTGATCTAAATATAATATTTTAAATTTGAAGAGTCTAATTATTACACACTTACAAACTTTAAAGAATCTGAATGTAACATACTAACGGACATTTAACGGTAAAGGTCTAAGTGTCACGAGCGTATAAATTTTAAGGTGTTTATGTGTAATATTTTAAATATTAGGGGTTTAAAAAATTAAGTGATAAATTTTAAGGGATTTGAGTATAATTTTTCCTAAAAATTAAGCTTAAATGTAAAAGAAAATATTTAGGTCCGAGTTTTTGTACACTTTGGCAAACCCGATAAATCCGCAATGTATCGCGGTTGTCGCTACTCGTGACTCTCTCTCTCTCTCTCTATTCCTCTCACACACACACACACGCACAAAACCACCAACACCTAATATCTGTCGCCGATCAACGAAACATTCATGCATCTACATCATCATTAACGTATAATTGGTCTAGTGGTCCCCACTTGAAATAACCACCAATCATAGGTGTGCACGTGGATTCGCTGTCAACGAGTAACCGTAGATCCATGTGGTCTTGTCTCCCTCTAAAGTTGGGACCCACACAACCCTGAAAACATGGACCCCACACTTAAAAAAACAACTCGCCCTCGGTTACTGGGGACTTTGTAAGTGCAGAGACAGACAGATGCAGACACCACCCTGTCATAGACTCCTCTTTAATGCGATTCTTTATGAGTTTTTTTCATCATTACCTTATTATTTTTAGCTTCCTCTTTTATTACTACTTTCCAACTCCCCCCTGTACCACCAAATGCCTGCACGGCCATGGCCACTTAAATGCTATGTTTCTGCCCAAATTACACCTCTCTTACGATGAAAATATTATAATTGTTTACGGTTAAAAGTTATAACTTTGTAAGATATAAATTATAATTTTTAAAAATACGATCGATTACAAAAATTTAAAAACGAAATTGATATGATACCAATTTTTTTTTTTAGTATCGTAAAATTTCCTCCCTTGCAATACATTTTCGTCAATTTCCTCCTTTTTCATAAGATAAATCTTGAATTTTTGTTTCTACAAAGAAAGACATCTTGTTTATCATGTTTATTTGTTATCTACATTGGTCAAACACGGTCTACATATGTTGTCTAAAAATTATTTTTTAATATTATATTTTTATTTTTTACATAATAGAAATGTAAAAAGTAAAAAAGAAAAACTATTATTTTATAATCAATAATTACAAAATGCATCAAACTAAAATTTACAGCTCTCAGATATAGTACCAATTTTTTTTTTTAATGTACAATAACTTTATCCTTGTAACTTATCCATTCTTATATTATATCCCTTATCATTAAACTAGCGGTAATTCGTATTTGAAGGTATGGTGCAATGTTAATGATTTTGAAAATAATGTTAATGACTGTTAGATAAATTTATTTAAAACCCTCAAATAAATTATTTATATATATATTA